CTTTTTCGAAGAAACAAAACGATCGACTGCAATTTCCACTTTTTACTTTTATCTTACCTTGGACAAGGTAAAGTACGCAAAAATTCGTCAGAAAAATATCTTATCAAAGCAATCTTTGAAAGACAAAGTATTAGGAGTTTTGCACTTGATCTACCGCATACTGATTGTAAACTTTTGATGTGGACCTTCAGTTTTCTTGACGATGAGATTTTTCCTTTGGGTTAGTCCACAAATATGACCGAAACAACCATTCAAATTAGAAAGAATGTTCAAGCACTCACTATTTAATGAAAGCTTTCAAGAAATATATTACTTTAGCGGTTTCGATAAACATGTAGCAAAAACTCCATCCTTATGGGCAATTGATCAAGGCCACTAAAAATTACGAAGCATTTGCCAGCATATCAAGGACGATCTGAAACTCAGAGCAGTCAACACCAGAAGAAACGTTTTCTCACTATAAAAAATGGTATGCTAACGGATGCATTTGCCAATTCCGTTTATTAGACACTGATCGGCCTGTCAACATGCGGCTTTATAAAAACTGCCATTCATTGACGTCCCTGTCATTGAAATTAAGCGAATTCCTGTTTACCTTTGTCAGCCGCATCTCAACCTATGTAAAGTTGCAAAAACCTACAGCCACTTGGGATCTATGCTCAAACTGCAGACTGTTAGCTAACCGTCATACTTGACATTGCACTGATTGCTAAAAAATATTAAAGAAAAAACTTCGTTCAAGGACTGTTTTTAAATGTTACTGTATTTTCCTGTTTTATTTAACCTTTTTCCATGGACAGACGTTCTGCACATCTAAGGCTAAAGTATGCTCATTTACAGAGATTTTTGACGTTTCCAAAGTTCCAGTTTCCTAAAAAAAACCTTATTTCTAAACAACGTGATATTAATGCTATTATTTTTGTTTTCTGTCCGCCTAAAGTTGATAGCTATTATTTCGGACTTTTGGTCCATTCGTTTGAGCCGATCTGCGAGCAGTTAGCAACGTTTTGTAAATTTGACACATTTCATAAGTCAGAGAATCCGTTATATGTGCTCTCTTGTGACAACTCCATATAGTGCTGAGCCATATAATGCTCCACGTCCGAGAAATTTACGATCAGCGCTAAGCTGTGTGTGTGACATCAGATATATTATAGCACAAGTTCTGATGCCTCCGGTGGTATTGCTCCAGATGTTCAATGCACTGGCCTAATAAACAAGGCATAATTTAATTGTTGTATGAAGTTGCAAACGACTGCATGCCATAAATCCAACACTCTTATTACCTTTGGTCGCAGTGACCGTGCCTTTTCGATTTTAGCTGGATAAACCTACGCTTATTGTCTCCCCCCAGTGGACGTCTCGAAAGAGGTTCAGATCTGGCAAATAGGCCACCCAGTCCATGCGACCATGTCGTCCACTTTGGTTTCTCAATCTGTCACCCACCTAGTTCCTCATCACTTCTGTGAAAGGAGGTTGTGGGACAAAGAGTCGTTGTAACTCGGGGTGGCCTTCTCCCCCCCCCCCTCCATCCCTAGTCCGTTAAAGACCCACCCTAAACAGTCTTTCAAAGCACTCCTATAAGCTGCCGTCACGAGAAAACTGTCCCGGGACAGACCCCTTCGAAAATCCGCCTTTTCATCCCACTATCATCGAATGATAAATATTAATTTGTATTTACGAAAGCAGTTCGCCTTAAGCAACAACTGGAGTTTTTCAGCATTTGCATATAAATTCTATACTTTTCGCCCACTTGCCTTTGCCGGCAACCTGTTTTATTATTTAATGATATCATGACATCTGCTTTTTGCCCCTATGAGTTGAAAAAATTATTCCGTACACTGAATTAGACGTTTTCTAATCCGTGTTATTAATAACAGGCATTTTTGCGTATTCCGAGAGTTGAGAAGCCAAACTCACTTTCATATGCCCGAGGCAACTTCTGCAAAAACAACAAGTAAATCATCTAATCGTTAAAACCACTGAAATGGCCCAACAACAGAAGCATGGTTCGTTGGCAGTCTAGTAATTCATAATTTAGTGACTTTTCGCAGTTAAGTCCGGAAAGTTATGGAAAGCCGCTATCATATCGACCTTCCACGTATCAAATACCTTAGTTCTCCAAAACAAATTAGGATAAAGCACCATGCTTCCTAGGAATATGGAAAGGCACACTTTGTCATGATTTTCTTTAGTATGTATCTTTTTTCTCAACATTACGACTTGATAAAATTGACCTCCTAAAAAAACGGACAAGTTATTTCAACTTATGAGGAAGGTAAAACTGTCTCAAAGCTTCGCTCTCCATTCCGAAGCCTGAGTTGATAACGAATGTCTTCGAATGACTAAAGCACACACGAAATATCCCACGTTCAGGAATATAGCGAACAGAACAATGGCATTTAGAGCACTTGAAGTACTCGGTAGTTCCCTAGATTGTAATTTAGGGTTTTTGTGGTCCTTGTCCCTTACAACCTTTTCCTCTGCAGGATTTTAATTCCAGTAGGTTTTGGGCAAAAAGTAACCGGTTACTGTCCATACCAATGCGCTAGAGAAGACAAGGTTTACAAATAAGACGGTGCCTCGTGTGCCAAAATTGAAATTTTTGTTGAAGGGGTTATTCTGTCGGTTTGCATTTTCCTCTTCCCATCGATTGGCTCACCGTCAGAAAACTTAATGCTGTATCTCTACATCTCCAAACAAAGCTAAACACTTCAGCCAGTCAAAATCCAGTTTCGAAAACTATCGAAACCCCAAAGAAAATACTAACCTTGTGAGGTCCAGAGACTCTAAGATCTTTCTGCGCCAGGAGAACTTCAGCTATGTTGTCCGAGTGTTCTAAATTTTCATTCCAACTGGACGGACTGTGCGGACGTAGTGTGATGGATACTTAAAGAATTCCAAAACTTCCCTTTTCTTCAACTTTGACATTTTCCTCCGTTCTTAGATTGGAGTTTGGTTAGTAAAAGTTAGAATATACTCTAGGGTCCCTTCTTTTTGCAGTCTGATTTAGGATACGTTTTAAGAGCAATGAGTGATTGAGATCCTGGATAAAAGTTAACAAGAGGAAAACTAAACCTTATGTCTAAAACATAACCAGCACTCACCCTTGCTTCCTATGATTAAATAAAGGTACAATTTGCAGCTGACGGGCTTGGGTTTATTTTGGACTTTTACAGAGAAACGACTCACTCTACCAGTTCACAATATATATTTTACCGATTTTATAAGGCTTTGTTTCCTTTTTCAATGATGTTTCCTAACTTGACTCAGATTTAGAAAGCATAAGAACTAATAATATGGCCTACTTGTAAATTTGTAAGGTAGGTTAAAATGGGAGAATTATTTTCGGCTAAGCATAGCGTTCTATCTGTGAACTCTCTCAGGCTTCAAGGTGGTAATAACAATTGAAAACGGAAACCTCGTAAATTATCGAACTCAGGGGAACTTTCCTTTGCCTAGTAAGGACCTTCTTCCATGGCTTTTGTTAATTTCAAGCTTTTTTCTTCTGTTTTTTATTTATTATTCTTTTGTACTTAGGGATTTTGCGAGGTTCACAAAGCACCGTTTAAAATTATCGAATTACATTCAGCAGTGAACAGTAGTTGCGATTTTCCCACAGAACAATTCAACCTAGTTACTTTATCGCAAAGAGCCAGCATCTTTGAAGGACTCTTCGGTGTGAAAAATAATTCGTTCCAATAGGCTTCTGTGTGCATATTATACATTTTTTCCATGAATAAATGTGTTCACACATGATGAAGTATTTTACGTAGATGGAAATATCGCCGTCTTGGCAATTTGGGTTTAATTTATTTCTTAACTTTATGCCTTACGTCCGTATTTTTTCGTCTTTGATCAGATCAGATCAGATTTATCAAGGGAAACGTAGACGAACGCCTTTGAACTCCCTACTGGCTACAATAATAACATAAAGAAACAGTGTGTAAAGCAAGTGTCAACGAAAATTAGGTAAGTGATTACGTACAACAAGCATTGAATACTGATATAAAATTGCCTGTGCCTGCCTTCTGTGTCAAAATTGTACAATAGCCAGGGCGCGGTCATGACCTATATACTAATCTAAGAAATGTCGAGACAAACGTATATGCTTCGGTCAGGAGATTGCTGAAAATGTGTGAAATAATGCTACTTAAATATGGGAAGTAACATTCTTTGTAACGTAAACGTTTGGGGCGGTGGTACAGGGGAAAATTTGTTAGTTTCTGATGCCTTGGTGATACATATCCCTGTACTGGTTAAGTCTCCTCTTAAATGTGTCCACGGATGAGGACATGACGACTTCCACGGGCATAGCATTCCATGCCTTTATCACTCTGTGGCTGTAGAAGGACCTCCTTGCGTCCAGTCTCGCCCCTGCCACACGGAGTTTCAGAGGGTGTCCTCTCAAACTAGTAGTGGTGGCCAGCTCAAAGAAGTCGCTGGATGCAAGGCAGCAATCCCGACCCCGTAGCATTCGAAACGTTTGAATTAAGTCCCCACGTAGTTGTCTGAAGTCCAGGAAAAGAGGTCAAGATTGGACAGTTTAGTTTCGTAAGGTAGGTTTTTGATCTCTGACAAGCTTGATTGCCCGTCGTTGGACTATTTCGAGGGTGGTGCGATTTTTGACAGACCAGAGTCTCCAGGCCTGAATGGTAAATTCTAGTTGTGGACGCACAAACATCCCGAAGACCTTTTGAAAACACCCTTCGCCGAACTTCGCAAAGGCCCGCTTGATGAGATATAAGCTGGGCATTGCGAATTTCGCTGCTTTCAAACAGTGGAATGATGGATTTAGTGATGTTATTCGCATACCTAGATCCTTCTGAATCTCTACCAGTGTCAGCGGTGTATGATTTACATGGTACGTCTTTCGGTGCACAGAGCTGGTTCTTCCAATTTTCAGAATGTTGCATTTGGGAACATTAAATGGGGAGGAGCCAGTGGCTTGACCATTGTTCGAGACGGTTCAAGTTTGCCTGTAGATTTGCTTCATCGTCCTAGTTGCGAATGGCGTTCCAAAGCTTTTTATCGTCAACACACATGGCAGTGTCGCAGTCCAACTCATGGATGCACACATCAATATAGATGAGAAAGAGGATAAGGCCAAGAACTGAGCCCTGAGGTACACCGCTCGTACCCGTCACCTCTGCCGATTGCTGGCCCCCAAGACGGACGGTCTGAGACCGACCGATCAAAAAGTTTTCAATCCACTTCAAAAGATTGCCTCTTACCCCTATGCGGCTGAGATTGTATAGGAGACGTTGGTGTGGCGCGCTGTCGAAGGCCTTCTTGAAGTCTATATAGGCTACATGCACCACGTTTCCTTCATCAATCGCTCGGGTCCACTGTTCAGGACAGTAGAGCAGATTGGTCAAGCAGGACCTTCCTCTGCGGAATCCATGCTGGACATCAGAGAGAAGATGATGTTGCTCTAAAAACCACATCAGTTCACGTTTGATAATTCGCTCCATAACTTTGCAGCATATGGAGGTGAGGCTTACCTGTCGGTAGTTGTTTGCGGAAGCGCGACTGCCACTTTTATCTATCGGTGAAATCCCCGCAGTCTTCCACTCAGGAGGCGGTCTGCCTGCATCAAGAGAGGTTTGGAAGAGAACACACAGAGGTTTTGCCAATTGCGTGAATATTTCGTCCAAAAACTTTACCGGTACTTCATCAGGACCTGGCGATGTCTCTCCTTTTAGCTTCAGTAGTGCCACTGAGTCAATTTTCGGGACATCGTCCACATTATAGTGATCAGCGGGTACATCAAGTTCTCTCGTAAAAACCGACTAAAAGAACCTGAATAGATGCTCAGCCTTTTCGTCGACCTTGTAATGTTCAACGTCATCATCCCTTTTTAACGTAGGGATAGGATCCCTGTTGCGAGTACTTTGTCTTATGTAGTTGAAGAAAAGCTTTGGGTTTTCTCCTGCGCAGTTTAAAAGGTTACCCTCGAAGTCTTGGTGGGCTTTGTAAACAAGGCACCTTACCCTATTCCGCTGAGCCTTGTACCTATTCGTTGATTCCCTTGTCTTATCCCTGAGATAAGCATTCCACAGCTTTTGATTACGATCTACTTCATCCTTTAGTGCGCTTCTTAACCATTTGTGCCTGGTGGTGATTTTCTTTTTCGATACAGGGCAGTATCTGGTGATAGGTTCATGCAATACGGTCTTGAGTTCTAACCAGTCCTTGAGAAAACACCTCGTGAATGCTGCTTTCCTGTCTCTACGGCGCATGTCGAGACTCATTTGGTTGAAATCACCAAGCCATAGCTTGCGTCTGATCACTATGCCTTGATCAGGTACAGACAAGAGAGAATACTGCCATTGTAGGACTACATGGTCGCTTTTTCCGAGAGGGAGTACACAGTTTATGACATCAACGCTTTCAATTGCTTTTGTCGATACAAGGTCTAAGCAGTTAGCTAGTTGCCCTTCACGTAGTCTGGTTGGAGATGAGACGTGTTGATTGAGATGCAATCTTTGCACTGCTTGTAGGAGGCGGCGATCAAAGTTAAATTCTGAGTCTGGAGCAGAAGTCAGATTCCAGTCGATATTCGGAGCGTTAAAGTCGCCCATAATCATGCCATTGGGTCGGATCGAAATTGCTTCTAATTCCTCTAGTAGACTACTGTTTGCTTGCGGGTCGTTCCTCGGTGTGTGGTAGACCGTCAGGATCTCGAGAGTTTGCGACCCCGGCGTTTTGATTGTGAGAAAAATCGTCTCAGTTGTGCGCGCGAACTGCTCCCCATTTTCTGAAGCAAAAAGCCCATTTTTAACATACTATGTGAGCACACCCCCACCTTGACGTCCCAATATGACCTTTCTGAACAAGTGGTAACCGGATAAAGCGACTTCTCGATCGTCTACACTCGCGGACAGCCGCGCTTCAGTAACGAGTATTACATCGGGTAAGGTTTGGGCAACGTAGATCTTAAGTTCATCTAATTTAGATAGCAGACTTTGCACATTGGAGTATAAGTATTTTAGCTTTTTTGCCTTTGGTAAGCCGGCTATGTCGCCGCCTTTGTGATTGGCTTCAGCTGTGGCGACCTACGCACGGGCCGTGTCCATATGAACCGGGACGGCCGCTCGATTATGCAAGTGTTGAAGATAACCAGGCTTTATTCGCCATTCCTTTGTCGCAGCCTTAGCTTCTGGACTAACTGTCGGCGTTTTAGCCGCTCCGTTGGTGTGTAATCCTCCTGGAAAAAACTCCTCGGTAGGAATATTTTAACTTAAAACGTCTTAAGAGGATGAGATCAACATGCTCTTTGCAACTCAGAACAATTCTTAGGAGCCTAGGATGCGGTGGGAGAGCGGATTCAGTTGTGCGCTTTCCGATTATGAAGGCTTCTAGCACTGAAACGTCCTCGTTGGGTTGAACCATTGTATTTAGAAGATCTTGGAAAAGCCGAGATCAGCTAGAACACGTTCTTTAGATGTGTTTTCCTGTGGCTCTTGAAGTCCCTGTATTACTAGGCACTGTTCTCGGAGCGGTCTGTCTTTGTTGCGTGACGATGGTGACTTGGGAGTTCCTGGAGAACCATTCATGACGATACTCTGATTGCCATCCACTTTACGGATCTTTTCTTGAACTAATGGTATCGTGTTTGTGCCAATACTGCTCCTGTATTTTATGTCAATAAAGGGGATATTCGCATTCGCCGCGTATGTGTCTACGCGGGGGCTGGTGGTTTCTGTCGACTGCTCAGACGAGCTCTGCTTTTCTACCTTCGGAAGTTCTTTTCTTCGAGTATTACGAAGTCGTCCGATATTTGTCGCTCCCTTTTCAGTCATCAGTCCGTTTTGATTTAACTTCTTCTTTTCATTTAACCTTAGTTGCATGTGAACAATCTGTGTCTTATTATTAATCGCCTGCTTCTCCTCGGTCTCATTGCGGGGACGGTGATCGTCTGCTTGCTGCTCTTCTGAGACGGATTAATATCCTGCCTTGTCATATTCTCCTCGATTTCCTCCGAGGTTTCCGTCCATGCGGTAGTCTTTTTTATACCGAATCTTTTTACGTTCTTCTGTGGTGGTGGTGGTGGTGGTGGTGGTGGTGGTGGTGGTGGTGGTGGTGGTGGTGGTGGTGGTGGTGGTGGTGGTGGTGATCGGACAGCTTATACTCTACCAGTGAGCTGGACATTGTTCCTCAGCTGGGTAGTTATCAATCATGAGTGTGCACTGCCATTATCACTTCCCAACTTAGTTTGCTATTCTGGAGTGTCGTTTAATACCGCTCTTGGTGAGGGTGAGGTTGTATGTTCATGTTGTCGTTTACCTCTTCTCCTAGCTATTTTTTATTTCTGCAGCCAGCGATCTCCTGAAACGATAATCGTTCTATTAGTGTAGCATCATAACTTCATTTGTCTTTCTAATGTTCTATTTTTTAACAGCATTAGGGTCGTCCGCTTACCAACCCTGTATTTCTAAAGTAAACTCTTCCGCAATCCAGTCCATTTTGTTCAGAGAGAGACATCGTTCGTCTTTCTAGATATCACTGCTTCTGCAACAACTAGCATACTTTCATTGGGGCATCGAAAGAGGCCGCTGATTTCAAATTCCAACTTTTGCTTTAAAGAAATTGACAAGAGAATGAATGGCGGCGAAAGGTATTAAATTTAAAATTTTTCTATCTAATCGTTTAGCATAGTTTCGCTAAGTTTACTGCCAATTTGAGCCGAAAGGAACTTCTGTTAACAAGAGACCTCAAGGAAAAGCTAAAAGTTTTGCTTTTATGTACTATATTGCAAGCATTCTGGACCACTCGATATCAGTGAATGCAGCCGCCATGAAGCTCATTCATCAGTTCATGTAGTGAGGGTTTGCGTTTTCATTTGTCTCACTGAGTTGTCCGCAAGAGCACAGCCAAGCCGCAGGGCAGAGTACAACAGCACGGATGACTTTATTATCAGGGGTGCCGTTTCAAGGCGGTAAAAACAAACAAAGTAGTCAGCAGTCGTTTCACCTAGACCGCTTGACAGACTCGCCACGTTGCTAACTCACAACGACTATCATCTGCACATATGGTTCCACGCCCTCTGAACAAGGCAATTTATCACCGCTGACTGTCTCGATGTTCATACATTCCTTTAAACAAATGAATAGGCGTTTGGCCAAAATTAAAAGAGGCGAATTTGGCATGCAGCGTTCATCATCAGGTGGACGTGAAGAAAACTTCGCAGGGACGGTACGCTATCAAAAGTCATTGTTAAAGTGCATTCTTGTGACGGCGGAGATAACGGCAATCAGGGAATGCCAACCGGTCCTGTGCGTGCAGAACTTTATGTGGGTTCGCGATTGCAGTGATTGAAAAGAGATAAGCCGAAGACTCTTAGACAGATGTAGGCAAGCTAACCTACCACAGTCACCGTTCAGTTGAGACTGTTCACTCCTCCTCCCTCATTCTTCCTTCTTCCCCTCTCCTAACTTGCCTCCTGCGTCATATCCGCATTTCATCATAGATGCAGTTGCCACACTCAGTTGCATGTATCTGATAAACATTTGCCTAAAACGTCTGTCTGACTGAAACCTAGTCTGCTGAAAACGCAAGGTAGTCAAGATAGGCAAGCCCCGAAAGTCCAATTATAAATATAGGTCGAGAACCAAAGGGTATTTGTACGTTCAAATAGCTATACTCGTAGTCATTTCGTGCTTATTCTCATTCCCAGGTGGTGCTTACCGAACGGTTGAATTCCAGAAGATCTCTTATAAAATTTCATTATGATCAGCACTTTTTAAGCTCCCTCTGGAGGGGTCAGACAATGGTAAAGTCGAAAAACAACTGAAGGTTTAATTTGAAGTGCCAGTGTCTATATTCCCGCATGTGACAAATATTTACCCACAATGTGATCGTAGATATTTCGTAGTCTTTTGTCAGATCGTATAGCAGGGCTATAATTTAACACTATCTAGCGTGCATCACAGTTGAACAATAATCGGAAGACTCACTGATAGTTTTCCACCAGTTTTGATGAGAACCGCCCTTGTTCCGAGGACGCAGTGATTGATTGCGCGTGAACTGGTTTACAGTGAATGTGGGTGGGAGAGGGATCCACTGCCTCTGACGCACTCTCTCCTCCAAAACTGGCATAGTCCGCTGTCAAGGCACGGCCAAGAACGCTAAAGACTGACTCAGAGGCGAAGGAAGTATGGAAACCTCCGTCTTCGCGGACCAAACATGCGCTGGTACCTACACGTAGGTAGTCCAGGCTTCCTTAGACGTCGATCTTGCTCAGGGAAGGATATCGCATCCAGTTCATGTCAGGAAACCCTCCAAACCTGGTCCTTAGTTCGGATGACGACTGAATTATCCCGCCAGTCGACAATCACCCAAAACAACTTTCATCCTGCCGTGATGACGTGAAAGTGCACTAAATTTATTGTTATGAGAAAGGCAAACGTTACATCCACTAGAAGAAAGTTATCCCAGACTTGATCTCCCTCTTTCCCACTGCTGTCATGCG